TGCTGGAACGGTCGTCGGTGTGAAAAATGGTGATAAGTCACTTTTTTTCAGTGCTGTTGTTATTTCGGTCAGTAAATGAACGGTTGTAAGACGAGGACTATCTGTACAGAATCGCGATAGGCAAAAATTAACCTGGGCTTAGTTGGGGGAAAAAGGGGAATTTTTTTTTAAAAAAAATCTGACAAAATTCCATTTTTTTTATCAAGATTATGTTTTTGTTCCATAAGGAACGAAATGTGGTCGTTTTGTGTGTGCACGAGAAAGAGGCGGCCCTCGAGTTATGACTGTATTCGTAACAGTCGTAATTCGTGATAATTATAAAGTAGGTCAGCCTGATTTTATGATCTTTTTCGCAGCAGTCATTAAATGAATCGCCCTGGTCAATAAGTCATTAAGCAAGCTAATGATTTGCTAGGGGTGCGCGTTTGCTGAAAGCCACAACTAAGTGCTGGATTTCAGCAAAACTGTTGTAAAAGGCGACCACAGGGATGGGGCAAAAGGTCGTAATGGTGGTCCAGTTGTTGAATGTCTGAAGTGCAGTTAAAGGACAGTTGGGGGACCCAATCCACTGAAACTTCAAGTCCAGATTACAAGTATCACCAGGTAGTCAGTCAAAAGTCAGTCGTATTTTGAGGACTACCTGTGCTCCACCTCTAAAAAGTCAGGAGTAACCAGCTGACACTCCACAAAAGCTCGGGGAGTAACAGAAAACTGGAGAAGACAATCTTCCAATTTGCCAGGAACAGACACATATTTGTACGCCGGACTGCTGCATGCTACAAAGACAGAGACACCGAAGGACACACCACGAGTGCAGAACCGTACATCAACCAGCCGTTGTGAAATAACACAAGCTCGGGGTCCCCACTTTGGCCCATGCTTTTTGCTCCCTGGGAATGAGTTACGCACGCCACCTCCCCACACCACAACATGAAACACACAGAGGAAATCTGAAGCTGGTCGAAGCAGAGGTGGACAATGCTTCTTTTAAAAGCTGTTCTGTGCCTGCACAGTACAGGACCCGACATTGGGAAGGTTAAGGAGCCTCGAACAGGCCAGTCTTAAAATGCTGGGCGTAGCCGTCGTACTCTACACAGAATTAAACGTTGGTCTCTCGCTAGCTAGGATCGGAACACCACACAGTTTTGCACATTTTTCAAAACACATTTGCAGCCAAGACGACTGGCGTGAAGCCATTCTGTGTGACGAAAAAAGCACCACACTGATGCACCCGCCACGCGACAGAGAGACTGACATGCACCACAAACGGGGTCTTCTTTGCACCAAAGCGATAGCGGCGCACGCCGGCGTGAGTGACAGGATTCTCAGGCAATACGGGGCAGACCTCGCCCGACCCACGTACTGCTGTGTGTAACCCGGACACAAATCAACGTACATGCACCACGCCTAGCACACAGGCATAGGGACACGGGCATCATGCCAGCTCACAAACCCCGACAGAGACCACAGTGGGTGCAGGTGTGTGGAGGGGGGCTGCGGCAGGGGTGGGTGGGGCCAGGTGCGCCAGTGGTGGCAGCGGCAGGACAGTGCCCCGTCTCCTGGCCGGGGCACCCGTGCCCCCCCTTCCTACCTTGATGGGGGAGATGTGCGAGTGAGACACGTAGCCGTGGACGCTCTCAATCTGCGATAGATTCTTCTCCGCCACATGGACCAGCTCGGGGGCCTTTACCTGGTTGGGGAGGTGGGCGGGGCTATGCTCCAGCGGGGGGCTGTCTTCATCTTGGTAGCGATATTTCTGAAAGGAAAGGAAAGAGGCAGACCGTCACCAAGGGATGACCCCTCCCTGCCTGGCAGGCCTGACTGTGGAGCAGGTGATAGCAATAAAAGAGAATATCTGTAGCTCAGGGTTGAAGGGAGGGTTCTTTGGTGTTCGCTGAGCTGGGTGGGTTCCTTGCAGACGTTTCATGACCCAGCTAGGGAACATCATCAATGCTAGAAGGGAGGGGGGTTTAGGGAGAGGAAGAGGAGGTGGAGGATAGTGACTTTGGGGTCCTTGGTGCTGTCTGAGCTTGGTGGTTTCCTTGCAGACGTTTTATGACCCAACTAGGCAACATCATCAGGGCTACAAGGG